CCCCACCAATAGATTGGAGCCATCTTTTACTGGGGTCCTATTAGTGGGGGATGCTTTTATCACCTCCACTAATACGCCTCACTTGGATGTTTCCGAAAAAAAAAAAAAAAAAAAAAGGAAGCTTAGACTGTTGTCTTTGAGTCACTTTTTTTTGTGTAATTGTATGATACAATAGGATAGGAATAGGCTCTGTGTACTCAGTGAGAGAGAGAGGGAAAAAAAAAAAAAAAAAAAAAAAAAAAAAAAAAAGAAAGGAATGGGGGGAGTTGAGATTTCAGTTACAGACCTTGTTTGTAGGAATGCTAGTGTGAATGGCAGCAGGAGCGGGTTTTAAATCCTTCTTTTTGAACCTTTTTCATAATTTGTTAGACCCTTCTCCTTTCTTAAAGCACAACAGTACATGGGCACCTGGGCGTCGGGCGTGACACCTCAAATTCTGAAGGCGTGAAACAATAACGCGACCGCCGATCAAATTCAAATTTATCAACGCGCGGGCCCAGCATTTGATGTTTCGGCCTCATTTTCTTGTGGCGACAAGCTTCGGACTGCACGGTTGGGGCCGTGTACTTGTGGTTTAAGTGCTTCATAGGCTGCGGTTGGGGATGGGCCAGGTCGGAAGTGCCTCGCCCAGCCCCACATGACCATGGCAAATATATGTAAGCAACACCGTCGGACCCGTTTTCCGGCTATCAAGAGAATGGTCAATTTGTTTTAACTTTTAAGGGGGGGGGGGGGGGGGGGGGGGGGGGGGGGGGGGGGGAGGGGATTTCTCCAATTTAGACAACAACAAAAAAATATATATATTCATGTTTTCACCTTTTGTAACTGGGTGTTTATCCTGAGGTTGGAGATCTTCCCAAGGACTGACTGCTGACTTCATCTGGTAATCTCCTTCCATGACAGGCTATGGTCCGCGGAATTTGTTGGGCGCGAGGCTGAAGTGGCACCCACCACGCTAGTGGGGCCATCATTCGGGGTGTCTTTCATGCATGCTCCATGCACGAAATAAGTCCTGTCCATCTGGGCGTCCCAAGGAGTGCTGCTGGCTAAATCCAGTGATCTCCTTTCACAACAGGCTATGGTCCCCGGGATGAGTTCATCATTCCAGGTGTCTTTCATCATGCATGCTCCACGCACGACATAAGCCGTGTCCTTCTTGTTGCAGACATCTGCAACGTCCCACGTGCTCTGTTTTGCTCTGTCTCTTTTTTTTCTTTTTTTTTTTTTTCCTAAGGCCTTGGAATTTCATTTCAATGGGGCCCGGGGCCCAGGACTCACTAGCATGGTTTAAAACTGTGTGTGATGCATTTTCCCCTTTTTTTTGAAATTTTCTGATTGAAAAATACCATTTCTTTTGTTTCTTCGGAAAATGAAAAGCGCGTTAGTGTTTTTTAAAAAGCGCAATTTCTGACATCCACGGGGTATGTAACAGCCTGTGATCCCAACGTTCACGGGTGTCCCGTACTGTAGGTGGCCAAAGCAGTGTACCCAAGTGAGCATAAATCCACAAAGGGCATGTGCACATCCATGTTCTCCTTCTTTTTCCTTCTTTTTTTTTGGGTAGAGGCGGACAAGAGACTCTAAATGAACTTGCAATATCACCCCCTACCTCAAAAACTTGTGAAAACCAAACGCTGCTACAATGACTTTCAAATTAAACCACCAATAGTTGGGCCAGCTATTGCCTGTAGTGGCTTGTACGTTTCCTAAAATTGTTAACCGGCACAACTTTAGGAAGTACTGGTGGTTTTAAAAATAGGAAATTAATAAATTATGTTTTGTTTTTTTTTTTGGTTTTTTTTTTTTTTTAAAACAAAGGCAAATGGGTCCAGTGTCCCATTATACATCCCAAAACTGAGCTTGACTGTGTCGACCTGCGAGGCAGTGCCAGCATTGATTGCCCTTGTCACTAGGGGATTGACTGAGCAGGTAGTGGAGAATAGATATGACACATTGCAAATAGGAGTCTAGGGCCCTGGTATTTCAAACGACTTGTATAGTTCTGTATGGGACGCTGGGCCTGGTTCCCAGCATGTGTTGCTCCCCACGAATCGACTGGAGCATTTGTCCAAAAAAAAGGTAAAAAAAGGAGTCTAGCCATAACCAAGGATCCCTTTGTCAAACCACCTCTAGCAGATATCTGGCGCCTGGCACAGGGCGAAGAGGTTCTCTCCCCTCTTTCCAATGACCTGCTCAGTCAATCCTCTGGATTCCATGAAGACCCTGAAGTCACAGCAGATTTCCAATGACGACGTCAACCACAGGTGAGTACCCGATTCCCTACATCCACAGATCCTGATCTTCCTCCTCCTCGCAACCAGTCACCTCATGTAGACAGCGTGGACAATGCCATGTCAGCAATCAAAACAGGTGGCATATGCCACATCATCAATGAAGACCAATAGCAGCGCCACGTAGACCAGGAGCAGCGCCACGTATACCAGAGGCAGCGCCACATCAGCATGCCACGTATACCAGAGGCAGCGCCACATATACCAGAGGCAGCGCCATGTCAGCATGCCATGTAGACTAGAGGCAGCGCCACATATACCAAAGGCAGCGCCACGTCAGCATGCCACGTAGACCAGAGGCAGCGCCATAGTGCATCGAAGAAGCACCAGCAGGCCACCTCCACCTTGTGCCGTCATCCGCAATGCGGGTGCACAGCCAGCATGAAGCCAGCGTTGTCAAAGTCGAGCCAGCGTCAAAGCAGCATGGCCAGACTGAATGCTTGGCCAGATACGCAACATGGGCCGAACACAGGCTGCGGGCAGTTGGGCACGGGTAACCACCACAGGCCCTGGGCCTGATTCGTTCGGACTGGGGCTCAGCCTCACGGGGCCTACCGGAAGCTTCTGGACCGAGGACCAACGCAGGCAGGTCACTTCCATTTAGGAAAGTGCCTGCCCCAGCACTCCTCATTCGGGCACTGGCTGCATGCTGCGCAAGCGCTGCTGCGCTAGACGCTGGCCAGCGCTCACTCGCTCATGGGCGAGCTGGATGAGCAGGCAGCCATAGCCAAGCTGCGCTGCTGTATGCTGGATGGGGCGCATGGTGGTCCTTAGGTGCACGTGGCATCTATGAATGGGGGATCGAGGTTGCGAATGATACGAGAGACATACCGGGTGCTTGAGGCGAACGGCATTGGCCGAGATCTGCTCGTACTTCGGGGAGCTGTTGACGTCACCAGCGGCATTGTAGATAGGCTAGATAGGATCTGCCATTTGTAGTCTGGGCGCAGAGTGCCAGATAGGATGTCGACATTGGTTCTTTGTTGATGATGATGAGACTTTTCCAACATTGTCACTTATGAGCTTTTGCTGTGCTCTTATTTGGTGGAACTCGTGTTGCAATTCTGCTTTTGGTTCGAGGTCACGACTATTTGGTCTCATGTGTATGATATATATATATATATATCCTCTACTAGGTATTTACTGACAACCCAATTTTCACGAACTACCACACAGAATAGGGTGCGCTCACAGTGGAACGATGTAACGCGCTCCACTGTGAGTTACATAGTTCCACTTTGTCCTTTCACAAACTGACACACAGAATAGCATGCGCTCGTATTCAAAACGCCAAGATGCGTCGACAAAATCACAATAGTAACTCAAATTACTTGTGCCACGTCAGCTCACAGAGGAGCGAGTTACATAGTTCAAGTCCAGCGACAAGCATCCCGTCCCCCCGTCCTCTCTTTGACCCGAAAACAACTCCCTTCTTCCCACTATGCCAACGTGGACAGAAGCCACCCGTCCTCTCTTCGACCCGAAAATAACTCCCTTCTTCCCACGATCCCAACGTAGACGGAAACAACGGGAACATGCCGGCTACTACTGTCCCCGGAACTGCTGTCGAAAAGGAGAAACAAAGCATGTCAAACATTCCTTTTTTTTTTTTTTTTTTTTTGAGAAAGCTTCATTACAGGAGCACGCTAACGGGGGTGGTAAGAGCATCCTCCGTTAGCGGCCCTGCGTTGGAAGGCTCCATCTATTGGTGGGGAGCTTCAACTGCTGGAAACCGGGTCCAGCCTCCCATTGTTACACATTGCATTGTGAGGATTGAAACAGCTGGATGCTACAACCTACACCTGATTTGTGTTGGTTGATCTGAGCCAGCCCTAGCTGTGCCAAGTCAAACATTCCTGTATACTATGTAACAAAACATTATACTCTTTCACACATTTATCTCACTTCAAACACTTATTGTTTGTGTGCGATTTGCTCGATGTCTAGCCAGGGGGTTATAGTCCTGACTTTTTCTGTAGTTGAATGGATTTTTCATGGTTTACGTGTTCTTTGTAGTTATAGGATTGTAGGATTTTTGCAATGGTTGTTTTTTTTTTTTTTTTTTTTTTTTTTTTTTTTTTTTTTTTTTTTTTTTTTTTTTTTTTTTTTTTNGCCTCTCACAGGGACACTGGACCCGATTTCCAGCAGGTGCAGCTTTTTTTTTTTTTTTTTTTAACTTCGCATGTGGGAAACCTACTTAACGAGGTGATAAGAGCAGCCCCACTAAGTAGGCCCCTGCGACGAAGGCTCCATCTATTGGTGGGGAGCTGCACCTGCTGGAAATCGGGTCCAGCGTCCCTTTACAATGTTATAATGTGTTTCAGCTGAAAATCGGGTCCAGCGTCCCTGTAAAGTGCTGTGGGGATATGTCACTCTACGAAGACACAAAACCCTAGCGTCACACAGATGTGATACGTATGAGCTGGAAATCGGGGCCAGCATCCCTATTGTGTGTTGGCACGTCAACCATAATCTCAAAAAAGAGATGAGGCATTGATTACTTCCCTGCACAAGGGAAGGATTGACCTACAGCCCATGAAGCGTTATCCTAACAAAACACATATTCATCAATCCCCCAACAAGGAGGTCAAAGAAAAACGTGAAACCTAAATTACCCGCCTCCCCTTGGGGGCATCATCAAAACGTGACTATCTTATGTTGATCAATCAAATTTTGAGATCCGAGGGGGAAACCCTAACCAATCATATTTCCGTTATGATGCCGAGCAGAGGCAGATCGCCCTTCTCAATTGAAGTTGCAGGCCGTGCAATTTCAATCCCCTTCGCCTATCCTACCCCCGCCCTGAACCGGACAGCAATAAGCAATTCCATATTGAGATTGAAGGGAGGAAGGATAGAATCCCACTTTGTTTCAGCCCCAATCACATTCCCACTGTCCACGTCAGAACCCGGCATCTCACTCACCATACTGATGGTGAAAATGAGTGCACTGTCACTGCTGCCGGTCTCGCTGTTGATGTTGTTGTTGTTGTTGTTGTTGTTGTTGTTGTTGTCCTTATTGATGCATTTACCGTCAACCACGACCGCGCTGTCTTCGTTAAAGCTATTGATGACGACGTTGTTGTTGATGCCATCATTGTAGTTGCTGTTGTCGACGTTGTCGTTGTCGTTGTGGCCGTTGTTGTTGACGTTGCTGTTGTTGTTGTTGTTGTTGTCGTTGTTATTGTTGTTGTTGATGCTGACGCCAGGGTTTTCATCATCTTCGTTCGCTCCATCCTCCTGGCAGACCTCATCCTCCATATCGTTATCGCCCTCAAGCCGCTCCTCAAGCATATAGCACAGGTTGCGACCCTCGGTGAAGAGGGCATAGCAAGCGGACATCATGCCATCAGCCTTCCTCCAATCGATGCAGGCTTCGAGTTGGGGATCCGGCCCCTCCTCCAGCATCCAGATAATATTCAGCATGTCGTCAGTCATATCTTTCAACCAATCAGCCAGAGAAATCGTTCCCCCTTCGACCTTTGGCTCCTCATTTTACCGCGAAGACAGCTCCCACACCATCACCTGTAACCGCCTGCACCCCTTCTCCAAGGTTCTTAGCCATTCGTCAGCTCCCCGTTGTAGCTCCCCTACCAACTCCATCTCGTGAACGCACCATCAGATCCAAAAGATAGGCACCTCACACCAACGTACCGTCTCCTGATGTGCCCGGTGGGAGATCCACCATCACCTGGATGAGACGACCAGGCGAACACCAAGATGACCAAGGGTAGCGATGGCAAATCACCACTACCACCCTAGTCTACGGAGTATGGCTGGGCCTCGCCAGCCGGTCCGTAGCGCAGGTTAGCGCTAAGCATCAGCGCGTTCACATCCAACTCCTCATCTCTCACGGAGACGGCCGAGTGAGCGTTTCTCTGAGACTCCATCCTGGTGGGCGGTGGGTTTCGTACATAGATGGTGCAGATTTGTGGAGGATTGTAGGTTTTTTGCAATGTTTTGAGACGGCCGAGTGAGCATTTCTCTGCTGAGACTCCATCCTGGTGGGCGGTGGGTTGCTTACAGAGACGGTGTAGATTTGTGGACTAGTTTGCCCTACCGTGACGGCGCGAGGAGGGTGGGGTTGCGGGGTCTTTGACCCCTGCCCTGCGGGTGGTAGGGTATTTCTACGGATTCGAATAGTATATGTTGTCTCGACATTCACCTTTTTTTTTTTTTTTTGAAAACAAATGTTTCAGTCTATTCGTGGGGAGCTGCACGTGCTAGGAACCGGGCCCAGCGTCACATATCGAATTGTACAGATCATTGAGAACATTTGAGATCATTTGAGATATCGGGGCCATTACCCGGCTTCAGCTGAGAACAGTCTGTGAACACGATATGATTCAGAAAGCATGGGGAGGATCATTAATATCTAATGGCCTATTAAGGAACTACTCATGCAATAGGCTGTCACAGGGGTCCTACGAATGCTCACAACCCTCAGGATCCCTAACAAGCCCTTCTAAGACTTTCCAACATAGTCTTACTCCCTGCTGAGCTCTTCCAGGCCTCACGCCCCCACCCTGTTGGGTTATAGGGCAACACAACTCACCCCAGCTCCGACCAGCGTTGTCCCAGCAGCAACCCTTGGTTGTCCCTTGGGATGCCCACCCCAAAGCATCCCCAGATCTCTCTACCAGGCCTCACGCTCCTGCATCAGCAGGTTACAGGGCAACACCCCAGCACCAGCCAGCGTCGTTCTGGCATCGAACAGCCGCAGATCACTGAGTATAACAGCATCGAAACCGCCTAAGATGGGTTGCTAAGACTCCTAAGAGTCCCTGGATCCTAAGACATTCATAGAACAACCGACTTTTTTTCCACTATTCAGACTCTACCAAGTCGCTAGAATATGTGTGTCAAAAAGCCTCCCAACCATGAATCAGATAGGTGAAACCTATTCAATCCCCCTACGACCACCACCAGCATGGCTGTTTTCAGCACGAACCGAAGCTCTTCCAGGCCTCATGCTCACATCAGGTTAAGTTACTGCTTTAAAAAA